TTAATCTTGAAGGATCAGAGTTACGAGAACATATCACTCAAGGGCAATTTTATTCTCATCTTGATATTTTTATTAGTAGTAATTAATCTTAGTTATTTAATGCAAAATGATTAACGATTGATCTTCAAATTAATCAGAAGGTAAAATTTAAAGTCCTATTATCATTGACAAAATGATTAGAAAGCATTTGAAGACATAAGCATGAATGAGAACGTAACAGTCATTAACTACATCTATGTTCATTCACGTCAAACAAATAAGTAAGCTCCATGGTTTCTATGAAAATAGGCAGGAAAGAAGGTTACTGCAGTTTTCTGTGTAATTTTACTATCATGTCATGTAACTATAATAAAATATAATTATAATTAGTACAGTACTAATACTAACAGCTGTAAGTAGATGAAAAGACATTTTACTAGTTTGTAACATTTGATCTGTTACCACAGTGATCAAAATACTTTTATCCTTTCTAAAAACAAGAAAAACTACTTGAGAAAAAAATCGCCTTATATTAATTGTTACGTAACAATTTGATCTGCTGACATTATCATTATAATGGCCAACATATTCGTTCACAATGTAAGATTGCACCAATTGTTATTAATGGGAAATCATACGGTTTTTACTCATTTCTCCTTCATTAGTGCCTTTGAACAATGAACTAACGTAATGAAGTCAAGAGCATATTTGTTAAACCACTTCATAAACTACTTTATCAAGATGGCTGTACCAATTCCTTCCAAATAAAAAATCAAAAGAGCTCACTTGATAAAACCAATCACAACATTTTAGCAGGGCTTTTTTCTTCTTGTGTATACGCTAAAATAGCAACTTCATATTCGCGATTAAAATTATAAAGATAATATGTCTGATTTAAATGATATAATTGTAATTGTTAAGCTGGACCTTAAACAATATTACGTAATATGAACAATTAAATTGAAAAGAGCGATTGCTAGAAAATTAATTACTGGTGAAAGGCCTTGCAGGCATATTTTTCAACTTCAATTGCTTTTCGTAATTTTGTGATATTGTTAATTAACTGTAACAAAATTATCATTGTTCGCTTCGAACAAATACTAGTACTAGAATGCCTCATGCAATCATGATTAAGAGGTAATCTGGAAGATTATTTAATTTGTAGAAAATTTTTGTAAACAACTGTACTGAATCACGATGATTGATGGATTTGAACGCAAAATTAAATTAATTTTTCTACTTTCCTTCCGTAAATTACCTTTCAATATACTACTTTTTTAAATACTTCTACTAAACTTGTAACTTTCTCATCGATTTCAACCGTGATTTTTATGCAACAATCACATAGCTTTATTCGCTATTACTTTGCCTGATAATAAACTCCTTCAGGCATAATCATGAAAGATGTCGTCTAACTTGCTCAAGGCATTTAAACTAATTAAACAGTATAAATATCAATTTAAATAACAATAAAACTAAGCCATGCATTAATAAAAGCCAAATATAATAACTTCTGTAAGAGCTTGTCTTAAGAGTGAACTTTAGATATGCTGTGTATCTAAAAAGTTAAATTATTTACCCATATAATTCATAGTCCACACTTTACATCTTATAGCGAGCATTAAATTAATAATATGCCATTTTTAAATATCAGTAAAGATTGCACTATTTCTCGCAAATAAGGCAAATATTAGGATATTATGAGTCGAATTTTTAATTCAATCATATTTTCCGTAATAAGCAAGGGTAATCACGTAAAATCAATAGCAATTCAGGTCCAGTTATTGCAGTTCTAATATAATTCCATTACTGATACTAATTTTATAAATTCAAATTATGGCATGACTGTACTTACAGTTCATGAAAATTAAATACGATAAAATAGAGTCGTCTTTACTAGGTACTTAGTAATATTTATATTTTCTTGTCCTACTATAGGACTGTATCTACCGTAGTTCAAATAATGTAATTTGATTTACTAGAAAGTGTAACAATTTCTAGTTAGCTAGTACTTTCCGTAATAAACTTGCAGTATCTCTAAATCTCTAATAGCTTTAGACTCTATTTCTTATTCGACTTTTCAATATCCATGCTTAATAAGCAAGACATTTACTAGAACCTTGACAACTGGACCGGGATAATTTTGTCAAGATTGCCGTCAATGTCCTTAGAGTATTTTCTACTGTTTCCATTACACTTTTTTCATTGAAAAAAATTTGATACCAACAGAATAATCAAAGTTAAACTGTTATATTCAACATTTAAGAAGTGCGTCCTTGAAAATGTCATAATGTGGTCTAAAACCTTGATGACGATGACAGGTGATGTAATAAAAGGGAATATCAAAGGCCATCATAGATTATCAACATAACTATTAACCTATACAATATCAATGCTAAATGAAAGACTATTGTCCGTAAATAAGAACGATTTTAATAAAAAACAATTATTTAATCATTACAATACAAAATATTAAAGTAATGTCTAAATGTAATTGAAATCACTTGATCTTTTTATTGTTATAATAATTCAATGTTGCATTTCAACTTATAGCCATCAACAAGGGGTAACTATTTCATCGTTGTGACAATTATCGTGAAAGATCAAGTAAACGATTGTCATAGACGATAAAATATGTCATAACATAGCCTAACGAACCTGTCAACGAATAAAGATGGTACTTATAGTAGATACTGGCATTCATGAGGATACCTTTGTTGATTGCAGTAGAAGAAAAACAACACACGCGTAAAATGGAGTAGCGTCCTGATTGCCAGTGTAATTTAGACGTGTCCTAACGATATCATTTTATGCGATCAGGAATTCTCTTTTCATCAGTTAGAAATCCAAGTACTATACGTTAGTATATTCTACTGTTAAGATTTATCTCCTCCTCGTATTAAAAAATCAAGGCAATCATCAAATTAATAATTAACAATATCAATATATGACTTTTATGATGTAACCAACATATTAGTGATAATAGAAGCGATCAAACTACAGTGCTCTTAGCATTACAGAAATTTTAACCAACAATAGCAAATTAATCAGGGTAAGCAAATAATTAAAATTTGATGGCGGCAGTCTCATACATTAAATGCTGTAAGTAATACATTATTTCAGTCCAAATGATAGCCCTTTATATCGATCACAGGGGCACCGATAGTACCAATATAATTGCTTCAGCAAACAAACGGACGAGTTGAATCTGTTTTGACGGCGTTTGTCGTCATGTTATAATAGGTGCTAATGAGTTTTGCGTCTTAACTGTCTGAAGCTTGTGTACATTTCAATTATTTTCGATAACTATATTCAACTATCTCTTGTATATCCTTTTAAGATTAGACATGTTTACGCGCTGGCATAAATGCTGGACTAAGATTCATATGGACATAACAGCCAAATCACCGATGTCCTCATCGTAACGCATGAAGTTATAAATACAAGCAGTAAGTAGATTGAAGAAAATCTGTTACCTCTTGCTAAGGGCCACTAAAGCAAAACTATATTTTATGTATGGTAAATCTACTTCAATCCATGCATTTTATTTCTCTATGCAAAAAAGTTCAACCGACAATCCATTGTTAGTTTATTAACAATTGCAATCAAGCCATTGAATAAAAGTCATTCCCACAATATTATTCAAGTATCAAGCCTATTGTTAATTCTAACACTTTTTTTAATTAAAGTAATTATCCTTATTAATTTTCCCAAAGTGGAATCAATGGACGGAATCCTGTATGCGAATAACATCTAAAATAATAAGTTAATTACTATATTGATATTGAAGTAAAGTAGTTTATTTTTTTACTGATGAGAAAGTTTAGGTGGATTTGATGCTAGAATTCCGTAACTTCATAGTCATAAATTGTATTGCATTCTAAATACATCTAATTCAATCTTTCAATCTATCAGTAATCTTTGTATCTCTTCGATATTTGATAAGCTTGGCATAAGTGACAATTAATTAAAGAGATAGATTATAATACCTTTCAAAAACTGATTTCTCCATTCATGAAATAGGATTTAATCAAATTGAAATAGTTACGAGAATTAGTAAATTTTTATTAGAGCAATTAGCAAACTTATCATAGCATTCATTAATCAATAAGTGGTTACAGAATCTCAGCCTGAACCTATACACTTACTGTATTTATTGACCTGCTACGAATATAATAATACTATTATATAGTAAAAATCTATTTTGTTATTCAAAGTCAATAAAATTAGTTACAGAAACCTGTAATATGATCAATTTAACTCCATTGCATACTTTAGGAGTTTAAAAATAATCCAATTATAAATACTACATTGATATCTGCGGTAGTAGCTTTCCAGTAAGACCTACTATCGGATATTTAAATTACTATCCAAATAAGACGACCAGAATTAATCACAGTTAAGGTTCACCTTATCAGGATTAAAATGAAAAGATGATACTAATTATTATTGTAGAATCAATCGTGGCATCAACAATTATCGAAATCGAAAAGCACAGATTGTGGGCAGTAAGAAAATTGCAATTAATTCAAATTTTTCCAAATCTGTTCCAAACACATTACGTACGAACTGATATCATAAGGGATTGTTTCGGTTACAACATTTAATTACGGTATATTATGTATATCTTATGAACATACCGGTACGCAAAGGTCGTTGCCCGACATCACGTACTTTTAATATATGTATCGCATACTTTCACTTATCTATCACTAAATCTAGATAACTATTTAAAAAAAAAACTAAATCATATTTGTCAAGCAAGACAAATAATCCGCAGCTCTATCTCTCTTGTTGTAAAATTGTACATACAGTAAATAAATAACCATATTCCATAAATTATGTCCATCTCGTAATACTACTTAGTATTGTCCCCACATAGAACCGTAGTAGAACTGGGACGGCGATGGATATGTATAGACGGCAGCCGGCAATGCATAATTTCGAAGAGTAGTATTCGGTAAGTAGTAAGGAAGTGTCATACAATGCGGCATAACTTTTTCTTTCTCATTCCGTTCCCGAAATTGTCGTTTACACTTGTACCTATGATTCTTTTTCGGCGAAACAAAAATTAATAAATGTTAAAAAACAAACTCTAGGCAAAATTATACTATAGATATTTGCACCCGCAAACTTACTTGAAACCAAATTTTAACTTGTGTCGGAGTTAAATCAATTAATTTAGCTAGATGTTCGCGTTCTTGTGCGGAGAGATAGCGTTGCCGCTTAAAGCGTTTCTCAAGCTCACTAACTTGCATTTGAGTAAATAAGATTCTTCTTTTGGAACAACGCCGCTTGCCGTCACTCTCTTTGCCATCATAGTCCTTATCGCCATGCTCTAAATAGAGAATTCCCAAATAGAAGCTTTATCAAGACTTTAAATGAGCTAAACAGTGCATTACTGGAAGAATTTTAACAGAAATTAATTCGCTAATTACTAATAAATTTTGCTAAGGTATTCTAGTAAATCGATAGCTCAGTCTATTTGAAAACTGGTATAGGATCAATACGGTATCATTCACTAATTTTAATAATTAAAAATCTGATGCCAAATTCCTAATGTTGCTTATACTTTTCTCAGCACAAACACTTTAAAGTGGTAATATCAGACTTACCGCTTTCGTAACATTTTTCTTCTTTAATAGTGCATGAACTACTTTTGTCACTGTTATAATGACCAGACGAATATACAGATTCTTCTACTTTGTTTCGACTTCTCTCAATAGATTCAAGCAGTGTCATTTTAGATTGATGCCGGATAACCATATCTTGATCCTGTCCTTGACTATTATCTTCGTATGCTCTCGTCAGATGATAATTATAGGCAAAATTGTCTTTGGCATTAACATTTGAAGATGAATTTTTAATTTGATGAGGAACGCAGTCCCTTGGACGTAAAATATTTTCTACCGAAAAAGAAGAGGCCATATCTATCAAACACTTGAAGAAAATAAACTGCAATATTTTCGAGAATTCAATCAATCCGGATAATATTACTATGTTTAGTTAATATTTATCTTAAAGTATTAGAAGTAAATGTAAATCTACAATCACGTAAAGTAGTCACTCAAAGCGATAAAGTTTTTTCCTTTAAATAAAAAAAGCACTATCTCGTTATTTTTTTATAATCCTTTTTGTGTCTCACTATCTGACTAATGATCAGTAAAGAAACACAGTAACTGTTTTTGTAACTGATAATTACAACAGTCGTTATTACTAAATGTTTTCCACTATCAAAATTTATTTTATAATACAACAAAATGTCTAAAGCTCTACCTGATACATTGTTTATATGTATGAATGTCGTGTAATAAATGCCTAAAGCTTTCTAGCTATTATTATTTACGTCTCCTAACAATTAAACTGCTAGTAGCAGTCAGCCATGCCTTACTACAATGGAATCAATGACTCAGGCATATAATATAATAATCCTAGCTTTGATGCAAATTTTAACTATAGCCCTATTATACTGTTGTGTGGGAGTGGTAACCATTCGAACACAACATAATCGACCACTTATTGCATTCATTCTTGGTCAATGTAGGCCAATTATATCGATAACGTACTGAAGCCATTACCCAACAGAAAAATGACAATTTACATTATTATCCTATCATTATAATTCTGTAACTTTGCCGCTTCTTATCAGAAGAATGATTAGATTATTGTAAAGGGTTTGTATGCACTTATTAAACGACTTCATATATATTATTATCCGTTATCTTGATACTAAATCAGTTGGTTAGTGGAAAATGTAGATAGTATTTAAGGTATTTATGTTATCTCTATCTAATACATATCATATTCATGTTCCGTAATGTATGTCGCTTCTTATCATTCATGTCACTGTATGTATCGTTGTTATTTGTATTTAAGCTGTTACCAGCTCTGAAATAAACGTAGTTCTAAACGTAGCCCGTGACGTATCTTACAGAGGATAGCAAAAATTGTCTCAATTAAGGCACTATTATTTTCCGATTGTCCTCGTGATGGTATTCAATCAAGGACTCTCTTGCATAGCAAAGGTGCTCAATCACTAACTCCTATCTTCATGTCCTGGTAGGAAATTTCATATCGATCATGTCTACCTCTTTCATATACTTCTTAAGTTTTCGGAGCGTATGATATCACTACTATATTATAATCCTGTGGAAAAGTTGCAACTATCGAAAACACCGAAATATAATGACGATTCAAGGAACAAAGTTCGTCGAGAATTTTTGGAGAATACACTTTATCGATATGGTATGTTACACTAGACATACTGACAACGAAAGCCGCCTTTGATCAAAGCACCATCTACAAATTCATTAACCAAATGCAGTATTTCAATACGTACATTCATATACGACTATATTCAACTTTAATTATAAAGACTAACTTGGGGTCCCAGTATTATACTATATTTTACTGTCTTAGGGTTAATTCATGTATTGTATTGTTTTAGGTAACATCGTTATCATGGTTATGTAATTCTATTATTTATCGATTGTAAAATTACACAACGACGTTGGTGCGGTAATCCGATAGATATTAGTCAATACTAAAGATATCTGCTTCAAGGTTTACGTCAATGCTAAGGCGATATACTATCAAAGCAGATTTACAGGAGATGATGTAATAACTTATGATCGCCTAGATAATACTGTATAATTACCGATTATAAGAGAATCGTCGAATTTTAACCGTAAATCCAATCTCACAACTTAATAAAATCATCATCCAGCAGACACCGGTAGTCAAATGTAAGCATTTAATAGGCCGTATTGCTCACTGTGTAATAAGTGTGTATTACACTCGTACATCGGTTTTCTTTTTTTTCGAATAGCGTCAATGAGTTATCAAAATACAGTACATGTAACCTACGTACTTATCATGGTATTAAACAAGTCAAAATTATAATAATAACCAGTATGGACACTTGATTTCATATTGAACTTCCTAAGTGTGTGTTCAAAGTGAAATATTGCAATCTACAGTACATTACTGTAGTGACTAGAGAAGGCCCTTCTTGTTACACTGTTATGAGTGAAAATCCTGTACAGTTGTATGTACTGTAAAGCAGCGTGTACGGTACAGTAAAGCACAGTACAGTGTACTGTAACTTTACAGTACATTGTACGATACTGTACGTACTGTACTGTACCGGTCTCTAGTGCATACGTACAGTACAGTACTGTACGGTATATTTTTAGTGAAAGTGAAAGGCATGACCTCTGCAGGTCAGTATACCATTTCAATCGATTCAGACTTTAATTACAGTACTATACAGTACAATGTCCATATTCAATTACTTGACACCACGATAAATCCATCATAGTTAATTAATTAATTAAAATATTCAACACTACCTTTGAAAATATTGTAACGTACTCGCAATGTAATTTTAGCCTATGGTAAAACAAGCTGATCACTTGCTAAGGACATCGTTCGATTCTTTCCCTGATAGTAACAAAAAAAATACGCGGACGACCTTAACTCTATTTTGAGTATGCTAACTAACTTCCTTATTCAGCGTATCAATAAATGGAAGTCTTCTATCGACTAACTAAATGATGAGACCTGAACAGTACGATACGCATCCGTAAAATGTGTGATCATAATATTGCATGCAATGCACAGAAAAATATTACCATCGCCATTACCAATCATAACAGATATTTTATTTATTTCGTATGAACAATCTGCACTATGAAATTTCATCAGAAACAACGGAAGAAATCATCATGACATATGTACATTTGAAAGCATAGTTCTGCACATCGTTACATCTACTATGCATACTGTAGTATCTCACAATCAGATAAAAATACTCAATGCCTACTTGATATTGTTATTGTTAATACAGTAAAGTAAAGCAATAAATCGATAGCTTAAACTTCTGTTAACGTCAGCATGCCGTAAAATATGAAGTAAAAAATTGCAATCAAGTTATTTAATAATGATAAGATAGAAATGAAGAAATTCTAAACATAGAAAGTGATATACAAAAATACATCAGATCTTAGAAACATTTACGGTGAACAATCGATGGGCCAGATTCATCATATTCTTGTCTAGAGATCCACATCTGTTGGAAGGTAGATAAACTAGCTACGATAGATCCGCCAATCCAGACTGAGTACTTCCTCTCAGGCGGAGCAGCAATCTTAATTTTCATAGTGGGAGGCGCTAATGCTGTAATTTCCTTTTGCATTCGATCGGCGATACCAGGAAACATTGTAGTACCACCCGATAATACAATGTTACCATATAGATCTTTACGAATATCTACATCGCATTTCATAATAGAACTATAAATAGTTTCATGGATTCCAGCAGATTCCATGCCTAAGAAAGCAGGAGAGAAAAGTGCTTCTGGACAGCGGAATCTTTCATTACCGATTGTGACCACTTGACCATCGGGCAACTCATAACTTTTCTCTAAACTCGAGCTATTAGAAGCAGTTTGCATCTCCTGTTCAAAATCTAAGGCTACGTACGCTAATTTCTCTTTCATATCACGAACAATTTCACGTTCAGCGGTCGTAGTGAATGTATAGCCACGTTCAGTCAAAATCTTCATCATGTAATCAGTTAAATCACGACCAGCCAAATCCAAACGCATAATAGCATGGGGTAAAGAATAACCTTCGTAGATGGGTACAGTGTGACTGACACCGTCGCCTGAATCCATAACGATACCTGTAGTACGTCCAGAAGCGTATAAGGACAACACAGCTTGGAGGTTGATATACATAGCTGGGGTGTTGAATGTTTCAAACATGATCTGAGTCATTTTTTCTCGATTTGCTTTGGGATTGAGTGGAGCTTCAGTTAATAGCACAGGATGTTCTTCGGGTGCAACGCGCAATTCGTTATAAAATGTGTGATGCCAGATCTAAAAGTTAGACATGCGTCTTTAGTACTCGTACATTGATTACAGTGCTTTTAAATTTGAATTTCCATTTAATAGCAATCGATAGTACCAAATTGTAAAACTACGATAAAACTGGAGAAAACTGTACTCATTACATGGATTACTTTTGATTTTACTGTAAGTCTACATTGAGTCGCAATGAATAATAGCAAATAGCAAATTAGGATAATACTGTAGAATACTGTACGACACTTTTACCTTCTCCATGTCATCCCAATTGGTTACGATTCCGTGCTCGATAGGATACTTCAATGTTAAGATTCCTCTCTTACTTTGAGCTTCATCCCCAACATACGAATCCTTCTGACCCATGCCAACCATAATACCTTGATGGCGTGGACGTCCAACGATGGACGGGAAAACTGCACGGGGAGCATCATCGCCGGCGAATCCAGCTTTGCACATGCCGGAGCCATTATCGATTACCAAACCTTGAACATCTTCTTCAGCCATTACGAATATCGAAATTTCTGTTGCCAATTATTAACCAAGACTAGTAGAAAGAAAACTGATGCGAAAATTAATGTAATTATTCGTCGAAATAGTTCTAGCAGCAATGGAAACTGTCCTCTGAGAAAGCTGACTAGCATGCGATTGTCGCAAGCTTTATAAAGACTACGGCTGGACTTGCATTTGTTAACACCAGGACAGTTATTTATAGACGTCAGCGAATATGAACCAATCGTAACATGGATAAGACGCATCCTGATTTAAGAAAACTTACTTTATCTCCAAATAAGGTATAAAATATCTTCATGTTTATTAGCTAGGGTGTCATCGATAACTGGATAAGATACAATTAATTTTGCAATAATAGAGAATGTGGTACTGGGCACTACTGTTTTTTTTAACCATATTTGGTAATAATTGGACAATCTGTTTACATTAATAGGAGCATCCGCCTTTCATCTTTCTTGAAGAGAACAATAGCAGTATGGCATACTGTAGTGTACACTGTACCGTACAGATGCGGACACGCTCCAGGAACAGAACAACAGCTTTCACTTGACCTGTTGTCTCCTTGAAATTGATCTATTTTACTTCGTGAAGGAGTCGTATTCAATGTAATATGAATATTATTAATTATTACTGTAATTATACTTCTTGAGTATCTTGTTCAAACCCGTGCAAAAAAATTGGACTTGCTTCGGCTATGGAGGTGTTTTCACACCTTTCTGTTTTATGCTGATAAACTGCAGTAGCTTAGCTGTAATCCATAGGACAATGTATCACTGCACTCTCTACGGATAGTACAGTTTAGGTATTGCCCATCTTAAATTTTAATTTTCATTTCATCGATGACGAGTTTTCGAAAAATGGAAATCAAACACCAAACAAATGAATAACTCAATTATCTGTACCGTATTGCACCTGGTGATGAACGGTTCTGCATCCTCACACTAATAGCAATGCCCTAGCATACTGTCACCAATTAATTATATCATTGAAAGGTGATTTTCTTACTGTCATCCGTACTATCGCTTTTGCCATTTCTACTTCTCGCTTCTGCAATACAAGAATTGTAATGTGCTTTGTCTTGAGTACGGGTATGGAAAATAGGGAAAATATATACTGTACAAGAACATCGTCCAAACTAGAACACGTTTTCTGTTAACATTGACAACGTTTTAACCAGTCAACTTCATTACAAACTTATTATGTTTATTTCTATTAACAAGTCCGACGTAAACAGAGTTGCAATAATTCAATTAGTAATAATGCTGAAGAGATTTTTGTTAAAATTCCTTGCCTGTAGCTACGAAAGGAAGATTGCAAACTTGTGATGATAATTTAGCCCAATGGAACAGAAAGAAGCTTTTTCGTAATTGAACCAAAAAGAAAAACAATCATGCACTGAATGAACTGTAATACATACAATATCGAAATTGGTATCTGCAAATAATTCTGCTGTTTCCAAGTTCTCCAGCTATCAAGTCTGGAAAATTTCAGGATGAGTCATGGATTGAATAATGATTGATAATACGTATACTCGTGATGTAAATGGATCCACCCAGCTAATGCTTTGTGCTTTAAAAAGAATAAAATTCATCGAATTGTCACAGAAATCTATCGATTCATCGCACTTAGCTACTTTAGATACCTAGTGAAGCATAGCTATTGCAATAACGCCATGCAGTGTAGTAAAAAAATAACAATAATAATATAAGGCGTCCCGGTATAAAATATATATGTAGCATATATGTTATGACGATATGACTCATGGAATACAAAAACAGTATGTACCGTATATTAACGTATACAAATAATATAATATTCTCGATAAAACATACGTACGTGCTCGATATATTGAGCTGTAAAATGGAAGACCATAAATTTAGCAGCATGCCACAATTTGACTAAAAACGTAATAATAATAACGTCATTGTACGGATACAGTATCATGGCATCTACTTCATAACTGTTGATGCAATCCGTATTTATCTATTATAATTATTCCTTTTATTTGTGTGAGTTCGCTTTGTGAATTGGAGCCAAAAATGTTCTGCTCCAAAGAGTAAAATATTTAGTATACAGTAGTGTGCCCTACTAAACTCCCAAGAAATCGGCAATACTCACGACTTTCCATGCTACATGAGATAGTAAATTTACCGATCTCCCGATATTTGATAAGCACACCACTGTAATTAATTATAATCTATCTGAAGCTACGCTTATCGTTTAAAATAATGCATCATTGCGAAGCCTAAATCATACTAGCAACATAAAATGCAATTACGTACACGTTAATGATTTATGAATAAATTTAATTTGCTATTGCGTGACGGTCTTAACTACGTAACAAGAAATCTAGGGCAGTTTCGTTCTCACATTTGCGATAATTAGATAGTAGATTAATTAGATAGTCAAATGAACACGACATACCGTAATTAATGTATGGGAATATACATACGGCATGATACATGTCATTATTCCTATCTCCTACTAACACAATATCTGGTGAAAGTAAATAACAAAATCCACCCTCTCCTTTAAAAAGACTATTCCTACCACCCTCGTATAGTCTAATGAATTATTTATAGCTACCGATTTTTTAGATTAGTTAGCGTTTTGAAAATTTTACTCAATTGATACCGACTCGCATCTTTCACACGATTTATCCGTTGACAGTTGTAATTATAATAATTATTATTACAACAAGTGATTCTACATGCCATAAATCATAGCTAAATAATTACTTCAAATACCGGAAATATAAAACTTATTTGTCGTTAACAAAGTACAAGTAATTCCCTTCATTTTGAGTAATGCTACAGAACATCGTGCTGAACTATTTAGTCGTCAACTCTAGAACGATACAAAATAGAGATCTTACCACAGTAAATAAGATTAAGACACATGAAGTAATTTCGATTTCATATAGAATGAACATCAAATGAATAAAAAAAGGTCTGGTGTACAACACATGTTTTGTTCACCAGCGATACTAAGGCGATACACGCTGCTAGTAACCCTATTTCAGTTCATACTTACTGAAATATTTAACAATATTTAATTAATAGTAGTTATACATATGCGCTCGTATATATCAACAGCACCTTACCAGTTCATAGAAACAAGGTTCAGCCCTAGTAATAAACACTATAACAATATATATTCAAATGTAGATATTGTTGACTGTAAGTTAAATAACTGAAAGGATCGCTTATGTACTCCAAATGCGTTTATAAATTGTTAGGACCAAGTCACTACATACCACATACTAGAATAGATTAGCGAAGCTTCAGTATAATTTAAGTTGCAAACTTTAAAGAAAATGATAAATATGTCAGACGCCGAAGCTCAAAATTAGAACAAATACTATACCTAGAATTAATATCATTGTTATTTTAATTACTCAGTTTATCAGGTGTTGTAGCTTCAAATTATACATTTAGACTCCTAACACACTTAAACAGTTATAGGATTAAAATATTTAAAATTATGGGATTTCTTGAAGAAAACTTCGATCTCAGATCGAGATAGATACTACTTTACAGTATTATCATAATAACGATGATGTAAGATAAGGACAATATGACTTCTTTTATGTATACTAAGATCCATTTTAAATTCGTAAGTCTAATTTTAAAATATATGCTGGTATTTTAAGTTTGAACATTAACAATTCATATTGACGTAAGAAACATGCCTCAAATACATTTATATGCAGAGCAAGCATAAAACTGATCTCCATCTCTAATACTATATTATTAAAACAACCAACAACTGAAATGCTCACAACAACACTAATCCTTAAAATTCATAATATAACAGTTAACTTTTACCAAAAACAACCAAACATAATTTGGTCTTCACAAACAAGAAACAAGAAACTGTGCAAGCACTTGAGTTTTACAGATAGCATTTTTGGAAACTTATTTAGTCAATCGCAAAGCACCAAGTTGTATTAGTGGTAGCAAGTGCTAAGAATATATCACATTCTTCAATTGATAAAATTTTTATGCTGGCTGTGTATCCAATCTTAAAATCTTATAAAATATATAAAACATTAACTGCTAACGAAGTTCAACTTTTTTCCTGGCTTTAAATTCTTATTTTGCTTTCTAACTTGGGATGCTGCGAATAAATTTAAGCTTTTAAGTATAGTCAAATAGATACCCATTTATATTGAACATTATAGATTTAACGCGTACTGGTTCCTTCATTATTTTATATGCTTAGCATTATTATAAATCATGCATAAAGAATTTTATATATTATTCGTCGTAGCAGATTTTTACTTCTCCTTTTAGTAAACTCCTTTATAAATACGCCTTAAAAGTCCACCGTATATATTATCAGTCTAACGTTGGTAAGGTGGTATAGCTGTTACTACAATAATTGGGCAGATAATTTCCCTTACCAATTATCAACGATCTCATTCGTAAGTGTTCCTCTTTAGGCAATTTTTCAATCAATTCCAAAACCGTTTGATTTGAGGAATTTTTAATTGTTAGGTCAGCTCCTATATTTCAGTAGTTAATAGATAATTTAATACTTCTCATGTTTATCTATAACTGTCTACATAACGATACAATGAAATGAAATTAGCATCTTCTTTTCAGAACAGCGCTGTTCCTATTGCTTACTAATTGATTAACTAAATATCATTGCAGTCATCGCCTTCCGATAAAGTATAGACCCTTCAGATATTTACATTTATTAGCAAAAATACCTTTATTAATTAGGAAGCCAACTATTTCTAGATTTTTTTCTTGTATTGCCTCATGTAAGCAACTTCCATTTACAGTCTGTATTTATACAGTATGCATGTATATTAATGTTACGGCTACTTTGAATGGAATAAAGTGCTGGAACTGGATAATAATTTATGTCAAAGAAGTATAAAGCATTCAATAATGTCGTATGTTTGAGTACGCTATTTACTAATACATCTTTCACTAATAATGTTGTATGTTTGAATACGGTATTTATTAATACAACTTTCAACC